TTCTAAATGAAGACTGGAAGGAGGTGGCTGAGATAGATGATCAAGCAAACCTAAGAAAGGAAGAGGGCAGCCTTCTTATACAGTGCTTTTTCTTTCTTCCTCCCTCACTCTTTTGCATATTTTTATGAAATATTGAATAGATGAAAAATAAATGTATATATTGAATATCTGCAAGATATAGGAACTAATACTTTAATTGCTAAATGTTCACTATCCCCTTTCAAACAAAAATTAACAGTACCCTTGAAGTCTTTCTGCACCTCTCATCTTGTATCCTTTCCTCTGTGTATTTAAGAGATAACCACCACGTTGAATTTTTAAAAACCATTTTCATTTTTGTTTTACTACGTTTTTGTCTTCAAGCAGTTCACTGTTTAATTTTACAGTATTCTGGGTAAGAATTCTGGGTAAGAAACTTATTTTTGAACTTTTAAAAAGTAAAGTCATAGTATTGATATTCTTCTGTGACTTGATTTAAGAAAAATTCAACATTTCTTAGATTGTTACTGGTGTTTTATATAGTTATAGTCATTCATTTTCATTGCTGTGTGATATTCCATGCAAGAATATAACACAGTTTATTTATACATTTTACATTGATGGACATTTTACATTGTAATTTTTTTTTTAAATTACGAACTTTAGTGCTGCTATAAGCATTCTTGTAAACATCTTTTTGAATTTCTTTAGTGTGTAACTAGGAGTTGAATGAATGCCTTTGTCCTTCGGTATATTCATGTTACTGGGTGATGCTGGTCTGTTTCCAGAAGTGGTTGTACCAGTTTCAGTTCTTATAGTATGGGTGCTTTGTTGCTCTGTATTCTTGCCAATACTTGATATTATTAGACATATTTATATATCTTCATTGATAGTATGGGTACTTAATGTTGTTATTATAGTTGTTACCTAGTAGGGTTTTTTTCCTTTTTTGATTTTTCTTTTTCTCCTGTATGAAGTTGAAGTCTTTCATAGTTTATTTACCATTACAATTTCCTTTTCTTGATGATTTCTTAAGGTCTCTTTTGCCAAGTCATTTTTATTTTGAGATTTTATCTTTTTCTTACTGATGTCTTCTGAGCGTTTTTTATATATGCTGGGTATTATTCCTTTGCCAGTTTTTATGTACTGCAACTATATTCTTGGTGATTGTGGCTCCCCTTTCTTTTTCTGGAGTCTTTTGAGCATTAGGAATGCTTGCTTTTGATATGATCAAATTTGTCTGTCATTTTCTTTATGGTTAGCTTTATTTTGTGTCTTATTTAAGAGTCTAGCACTATTACAAGGTCATAAAGATTTTTCTTATTATACTTTTAAAGCTTTATAATTTGACCATTGACATTCATTTTTAACTAATCTGGGAGTGATTTTTTAGTATAATATCAGAGGTCTAAGTTCATTGTAATAAAATGAAAACAACAATTTTTATTCCGGCACCATTCATGGAAGTGTCCTTTCTTTCTCTACTGTTCTATAATGCCTATTCAGTGTTTTAAATTTAATTAACTTATATTTGTGTGAGTGTGTTTATGGTTCAGTTCCATTAGTCAGTTTCCCTATTTCTGCATCAGTATCATGTTATCTTAATTACTGTGGCTTTATCATATTTCTTACTTGCTCAAACAGGCTTATAGTCTACTCGAGAGTGTCTTGTCATTCTTTTCTTCTGATTTAATAGATATGTTTTGGAATCAGATTCAGGTTATTAAGTTTTTCTCTCTCTGTTGGGATTTTGGTTAGAATTACCTTGATCCTTTGGAGCATTTTGGGAAGATTGAGAATCTTCATACTGTTGAGTCGTTCAGGCTATAATCACTACATTTTTCCATTTACTGAGCTCTTCTATAATTTTTTTCAGTAGAATTTTGTATTTTCTCCACAGAAGTCTTGCATGTTTTTGTTTGACTTATTCCTAGGCACTGCATGTTTTTTGATGGTATTGTATGCGGTATCTTTTTAAAATTATATCTTCCATCTGACAGTTGGAGAAGTTTGGAATTGCAACAGTTTTGTGTGCTGACTCTGTCTTGTTATAGCTTTTAATTTTAACACTTTTGTGTAAATTATATTAGATTTTCTATGTGAAAAATCTTGTGGTCTGTGAATGACAGTTTTATTTCTTTCAAATTCTTTTATCTTTTATTTCTTTTTCTTGTTTTTCTTATACTGATGACGGCTGATATGGCACTGAATAGGAAAACCATTATCAGTTAGCCTGTCTTGTTTCTGATCTTAAAGGAAGAGAGTGCTTAAACACTTTGTTTGTGCATATGTTTGCAAAAGGTATTTTTTGGATAGTCTTAATTAGAGGAAGTTCTCTTTTTTTAAATTTGCCAAGAGCTTTTTTTTAAATTCAAGAATTGATGTTCAATTTTATCAGATGCCTTTTCCGCATCTGTTGAAGTGACCTATGTTTTCTCCCTCAATCTGTTAATGTAGAGAATTACATCAATCTGTTTACTAATAATAAATCAACCAGACATTACTAGAATAAACCCATTTGGGTCATGATGTATTAATTTTTTTAAATATTAATTTTTGTATGTATGCTTTTTGGTGAGATTGGTCTGCAGTGTTCATTTCTCATACATTCCTTGTTTGATTTTGTGTCAATGTTAGCTTCATAAAATGAATTGAGGATGTTAATTCTTTATCTGTGCTTTGGAAGAGTTGTGTAAGATTAGAATGATCTGTTTCTTGAATCATTGGTCATGCTTGGTGTTAAAGCCATCAGGGCTTGATTTATTTTTGGTAGAGAGATTTAAAATTATTGTTTATCCTCTTTATGATAATAGGATTATTAAAGTTTTTCTTTTTCTCCTTGGGACCATTTTATTAATTTTTTTAAGGAATTTGCCACTTCATCTTGGATTTTTTTTTTTTTAAAGACTTTATTTATTTATTTGACAGACAGAGATCACAAGTAGGCAGAGAGGCAGGCAAAGAGAGAGAGAGAGGAGGAAGCGGGCTCCCTGCTACACAGAGAGCCCGATGTGGGGCTTGATCCTGGGACCCTGGGATCATGACCTGAGCCGAAGGCAGAAGCTTTAACCCTCTGAGCCACCCAGGCACCCCACTTCATCTTGGGATTTTAAACTTACTTATTACATATTATGCTTATTATGTTCATCATATTAACTTATTATCTATTAAATCTCTGCAACATCTGTGACTAGATCTCCCTTTGGATTGTTCATTGGTAGTGTATAGAAATACAGCAGATTTTTGAGTGTTGATTTTGTATCTTGAACTTTGGTAGATTTGTTTATTAGCTTTAACAGTTTTTTTCTGGATTCTTTAGACTTTTTTGGGTATATGATCAATCTGTCATAGATGCCATCTGTGAATACAGATAGTTTTACTTCTTTTTTTTAAAGTTTTTTTTGTTTTTGTTTTTGTTTTTTAAAGATTTTATTTATTTGACAGACAGAGATCACAAGCAGGCAGAGGCAGGCAGAGAGAGAGGAAGGGAAGCAGGCTCCCTGCTGAGCAGAGAGTCCGATGCGGGGCTCGATCCCAGCACCCTGGGACCATGACCTGAGCCGAAGGCAGAGGCTTTAACCCACTGAGCCACTCAGGTGTCCCCAGATAGTTTTACTTCTTAACAATTTGAATGCCTGTTTGAAATTTTTAAAAAACCTGTCCTTTTAATTATTTATTCTTTTATCTAATTGCAGTGTGCTTAGAGAATATAGTCTATGAAATCAGTACTTTGAAATTTGCTAATCATTCCCTTGATATTCTTCACAGTTTTATTTTCTTTACATATATGTGTATCAAATACTACTTACTTTTACATATTTTTTAAAAGATTTTATTACTTTTACATATTTTTGAAATTTATATTGTTGAATGATTACATGTCATTTTGTTGACTTGCTTTTTTCCCCCTGCTATAGACTGAGGTGTCTTCCTATCCCCCCCAATTCATATGTTGAAATCCTAATCCCCAGTTTGATGGTATTTGGTATTGGGACTTTGGAAGATATTTAGGTGTTTTCTCAAGTGTTGATACCATTTGCGCTCCCACTTGGTGGGATGAGTTTGGCTCCACATCTTTGTCTACATGTGGTATTGTAAGACTTTTACGCTTTGCTAATGTGATACATGTGGAGTTATTTCATTGTGACTTTAATTTGTATTTCACTACATTGCCAGTGAGGGATAACATTTTTTTTTTTTTAAGTGGGGGAGGGACAGCAGGAGAAGTGAGAGAATCTTAAGCAGGCTCCAGGCTCAGCATGGACCTTGAAGTGGGGCTCCATCTCATGACCCTGAGATCATAACCTGAGCCAAAACCGAGTCAGAGGCTTAACTAACTGAGCCACCCCAGGCCTTCCATGTCTTTCATTTGTTTATGGACCATCATATTTCCTTTCCTGTGAAATTCCTATTTGTGATTTTGCCCAGTTTTCTATTGAGGTGTTTGAGAAGCTGACTCTTTTTTATTAGCATGTGAATTGCTTGGGGAATTTAATACTTACTGAGCAAACTTTAGGTTTTACGCTATGCTTATATGACTAATATGGATGGACTTATCTCAGTTTGCATTTAAACTTAATTGGAAGCTCTAAACTTCTATATTTTCCTTCTAATAAAATATAGATTAGCTACATGAATTATTTATAACTTTACCTCTCTGTTTCAGGTTACTCATTTGTAAAACAGTTGCCTTTGAGTTGTTACTATCTAGTGTCCCTTTTACTAGTAGTCTTTAATTCATCTGTCTAATATTTTTCTTCCTGGATTTTGAAATTGAGAAGTGTTAGTTTTATTGTAGTAACAAACTGTAAAATATTGGTTTTGTTTTGTTTTTGCTTTTTGTTTTTACATTGAAAAGTGATGGGTTTTGTTTCTGTGAGATGTGGTAGGTTAGCTCTCCAAAGACCTCCCTCATAGATTAATTTCCCTGACAGATAATACTGCCTTTTACTTTTAAAATTCTTAAAATGCTGTTAAACCTAGAAATTTAATCCTAACATATATAAATTATTCTTTCTCAGAGTGAAGATACACAACAGCAAATCATCAGGGAGACATTCCATTTGGTATCTAAGAGAGATGAAAATGTTTGTAATTTCCTAGAAGGAGGATTGTAAGTAAAGCATTTCATGGACATTTCTAATCTTTGACTATATGATTAAAAAATATACTGTTTAATTATTGGTTATGGTAAAAATTTCCTAATTTTGATTAATTGGATGAGGAGATTAATTATCACCTATGTTAGCTATAAATCTAACTTAAAGAATTTTTAAAGATATGTAGTCTTTTTTTTTTCCTTAAAAAATGTTACAGAAGCATTTTATGTAAATGTACTATATTCATGTGGCAAAAATTCAAACGTTACAGAGACGTGTAAAATTAGTTATAAACCAAGTCTCCCTTTCCTAACTTTAATCTTTCTCACTTTCTTGTGTATCCTTCTAGAAAATTAATTTTTCACTGACTAACATATAAAGATACAACTTTAAAAAAATTTTATTTACAGGATCACACTGGGTATGCTGGTTTGCATGTTGCTCATTTTCACTTAATATTTTTAGAAGTTTTGCATATAAACACATTTAGAGCTATGTCATTCTTTTTAATGACTAGAGGGTATTCCTTGGGATGAATAGACCTGTTCATAACAACTTATGAATTCTTTTATTATAAGCAGACTGAAATCTGCTTTTCAAATAAATATCTGTGTGCATGTATATGTATCTATATATAGGAATATCTGCATATAGGTAGAATTCAGCTAAAGAGTTTACTATTTTTAAAAAGAATAAATAAAAATTAGTTATAATTAGCTTGCCAACTATTATAAATAAATACTTTTAAATTAGTGGGTTCCATGAAAGCAGTTTTATAAATGTTCCTGCTCATGTTAACATAATCAATTTCTTAATGAGATATTTCTTCATTGACAAGTCAAGAACTAAACCTCAGCCGAGCCCCATTATGAAAAATTATATATTAGGCAGAGAGACCTATACTTTTCTGTATTTTAATGTGTATGACATATATTTTGAAAAATAGGTTGAGGGGCGCCTGGGTGTCTCTGGGTTAAAGCCTCTGCCTTTGGCTCAGGTCATGATCTCAGGGTCCTGGGATCGAGCCCCGCATCGCACTCTCTGCTCAGTGGGGAGCCTGCTTCCTCCTCTCTCTCTCTGCCTGCCTCTCTGCCTACTTGTGATCTCTGTCTGTCAGGTAAATGAATGAAATCTTTAAAAAAAAAAAAAGAAAAGAAAAGAAAAGTAGGTTGGATAATAGAAAATCCATTCTTACTTGACCATACATCACTGTTATCACATAGAAAGTTTACTTGCATTTCTTAAAGGGTTAGATCATGCTGCGGTTCAATCTATACATACACACTTAAAATTTATAAATTTTGCTATTGCCTCCAGACCTCCCAGTTTAATAGTTGAGACAGGTGTACCTGCTTTGTGTTTTTCGTATTTTAATTGTGCTTTATGTCTGCCACACTTCTGCAGGAGTTGAGTGGTCTCTGCCATTACCACTTTTCTTCATCTCAGCATTTTATTCTCTCGCAGGGACTTGTCACCCAGCACAGGGCACCGAAGGTGATGGTCATGCAAGAACCTGGCTCTTCCCAGGCAGGGCACTGTGTGATCTAGAAATCAGGGCTCAAGTCTGTGATCATTCTTTTCCAGGCTTACAAAAAGCAGAAGGCAAACATTGCATCAGAGATGAGGCTACACAGCTGATTCAGGCCTAGTTTTGTGACCAACAAAGCTGGTTTTCTTGGTCAGGTCACTTCTTGTACCTCGGTTTCCCCCCCCCCCCCCCGTAATATGAGATATTTAAAGTAAGGGGGGTTTTAAAATTCTGTGGTTTTATGTGGTATGTTGCCTTCCATACAAGAATTTGAATCAGTATTTATCAGTGTTGAACTCTAGTTTGAAGATAAAATTACATTTTAAAAGGCAAAGTATGTACTTGTCATGCTATGTATTAAGTCTTTGCTTTCTTTTAATGACATGGATTGCCATTTTGAAACTTATAGTTCTCAATAGTTTGCTCTTCTTTTACGGTAGAGCTGAACAAAAGTTTAAGATAATCACTAAATTGCTGACTCAGGATGAACTGAATCCTGCTGTGAGCATTCTTTTTTGTGTCTTCTCAGGAACCGTTGCCATCATAGCCTATAAAAATCATCTCAGAGATTCTTTAAATTGCACATACATATTTTTAATCGAATATCTTTTCTAGAAATATGTCTAGCATAGTAGTCATTCTTAATTCTTTTCAAAAATCATTTCCACTTTTGCTATAAGAAGCTATGAAAGAAGTGGGTACTTACAGAAGTTGTTTCTCTGGCCTTGTGAATTCAGTGTTAGTTTTTTGTTTTTTTTTAAAAGATTTTATTTATTTATTTGACAGAGAGAGATCATAAGTAGGCAGAGAGGCAGGCAGAGAGAGAGGAGGAAGCAGGCTCCCTGCTAAGGAGAGAGCCCGATGTGGGTCTTGATCCCAAGACCCTGGGATCATGACCTGAGTGGAAGGCAGAGGCTTTAACCCTCTGAGCCACCCAGGCGCCCCTTCAGTGTTAGTTTTACAGAGTTAAGAAATAGATGCTATTTTCCTGTGTCTTGTTTGAGTCTTCCCTTAGCTTTGATTACATTTGGCCTTGATTTTATTTTATATTAGGTTTAAAGGTCTTTTGAGAAGTAAATTAATTACTGTAAATGTAACTATGAAATAGCTAAACTAGAAAAACATAAGGTGTTTGGAATGAGTCCTAAATTACTATTTTTAAAATGCTGACATTCCAGTCAGTGTAAATAAAAATGTTTGATGAAAGAATTGAGTATTTCTTACCTAAGTTTTTTGCATTTATATTTCAAAATAAAATGTATTTTTGGAGGAGATTTTGAAGGTAAATTTCTCTAAAACTTAAGTAATATTATTATTTTTTTTCCTCCCCAGTTAATAGTCAGCTGTAAGCTGTATAACTTACTGTGACTTACGGAGTTAAATCTAATAAGCATTTAAAAATGCCCTGTGACCTGGTTCCTGCCTACTTCTGTTTGTTAACTAATCTTTTCTTGTCCATGCACCCTCTTTCTCTTCCTTGAACATACATATTTTGTTCTTGATGACTTTTTATTAGCTATCACCTTTGCCTGAAATGCTCTTCTAAATTTTTTCATGGCTAACTCCTTATCATTAGCTCTCAGCCTAAATGTCATTCCTAAGATTTCATCTTGGGCAGCAGATCCATCAGTACAGAATCATCCTGTTTGGAATCGCCATGTAGTACCTTCTATTCTGACCATGTTTTCTTATTTATTTGTTTACTGTTGCTTTATCCACTATCAGTAGCTGGCAAATGGTAGGTACTCAGTGGATAGTTTAATGAACGTATGAACTAATACTAAGCACCAGCTTCTTTTGTTATCTCTGAAGAAAACAGCCATGTTCTTTCACTAAGTCTCTAAGTTCACTTGAATGCTACAGCTTTACATGCTATGCCCAAGCATCTTATAAAAGGTTTTAAACAAATTGCCAGTTTGTTTGAGCTAATGAAAATGTGTTTCACTTTATTCCTATAACGTTCCAATTTTTGTTTTGTCGTTTAGGTTAATTGGAGGATCTGATAATAAACTGATTTATAGACATTATGCAACATTATATTTTGTCTTCTGTGTGGATTCTTCAGAAAGTGAACTTGGCATTTTAGATCTAATTCAAGTAAGTTAACACTCTCTTAATAACAGTTGTGGCGTTTATATATTTTAAAACTTGTATGTTCTTAATTTTCTAAAACGATGTTCTGTTTGGTAAGAAAGAATTTGTTCCATAGTAGAGATTGGATGAGTAAAACAAGGTCTAGGGATGCTGAAACACATTGGCAATTTTAATCTGATTAAGACTAATCACAGCAAATTTCATCATGCCCTTTCTTCCTGTTCATGTAAGTCATGCAAGAAGTCTCAGATTCATGGATCTCTTACTGTGTGTGTCCAGATCTGATCCCCAAACCCACCCCTCCCTGCCTGCTGAAAATCTACCATTATGTCCCTGGAACTCAGGGTCAGTCATAATCAAATTCCTCTTTATCTTCAGCCTCTTTATTAATATTGCCTTCACTTTTTTGCTTTAAATTGAATTGGGCTTCCCTATTGACACTACCTGTAACTGTCTCAAGTAGTAGCGGTTATCCTGCTTTCTTTGTAGTGCTGAGCCATGAGGTGTTTTCTTTGCTTCTCGTTGCTTTTTCCAGACCATTCTCTCTTCAAAAATGCCTCCAAACTTTATTTCTTGTGTTTAAACTTATACACCTTCTACCCACCCTGTTTCAGTAATCTTTCATCCCCACCTCATATTCATTGGGGATTTTATCAAAAATTTTCAAAGGTCTGAGATTTACCTTCCTTGCAAGTTACTTGTACATTAACTACCACAGTGTCATGGATGCTGGCAGAAGACAGAAGACTTCTGGGTCGGAATCAAAGGACTTATTCTGAATATCACAAGCAGCAGACATGGTAACAGCATTTGCTTACTACACTGGTACCCCAGGTCCCAATTTCCACAGTCACCAAAGGGTGTGACTTGAAGAGGGCCAGGTGATACCTGTACCCACAGTGAATTCAGTTATAGGAGAGGAACTAGAATCTTTTATATTGGACACAAATCATGTCTGCTCATGTCCTGGAGGAAGAGTGTATCTTCCATGGGTGTAGATAAACCTGCCATTTGCTTTGAAGAGAGATACTCTCTATTTTTCAGGGCTGTTTGCTTATTTATATAAGCTTGCTTGCAGAGAAAGTCTGCAATGATGGCAGTCATTTTATCTGTGCTCACTTATGTGCAGAAATGTCAGAGTGATGAGGAATTGTCTCCTATCAGATTGTGGTCTTAGTTCACTGGCATTCACTCCAGTACTACTTGGGTTCTAATTCGTGGTGATTTCACTATTCCATTTTCCTGGGGATAATTCTTCCAGTACTTTGGTGTCTTCAGACCCGGAATTCCTCTTCATTGAATTTTTGCCCTCTGCCCCACCTTGCTACTCATTTCCAGACCTTGTTTTTATCCAAAGTGCCATCCCTCCATAGTCTCAGTTGCAGTTTTCTTTCTGTCTACTACCTCTTATCTTTTCGTATCACAATTTCTGTTACTCCGCTAATTTCCTGGGCCTGTTGGGACCGTCAGTCTTCTAAATAAAGCATTTTTTCACTCTCCCTTGTCCTCCTGATGTCTTACTTTCCTTACCCCGTCTAAATCCCACCGTTAGTCATGGTAATCATAGTCTTGTATATATTCAGCACTTTCCTTGTACCCATACTTCTAAATGTAGTTAAAGAAAAAAAAAGTAACCATACTATAGGTCTCACCTTGTATTTATGATCTCTAAACTCAGTGAGTCCTTAGTGCTACCCAGTAATCCTATTTTCCTGGTCCATCTCCATCCCAGACTCCTAGACAACAGCTGAGATATGTTTCCTTTCTCAAACCTCTGGTGCTTCTAGCATCTTGCTTCCTTCTTCAATGAGAGATTAGAAGCTGGCAGAAGAGAACATCACCCATTTACATGCTAGTCTTTTCCTCGTGGCTCTGACACTTCTCCCTCTTTCTTCTGTATCCTTTTCCCCCTCCTTTTCTGGTCATTCCTCTAGCTGTTCTATGTTCTCCCATTAAAAGGAGAAGTCCTGTCCTTACTTCCCTCTCCAGCCTCTGGCTCATTTTTTTCCCATCCTTTATGTTAAAATGCCTTTAAAAAGTTGTCTGTGCACACTTGTCTCAAATATTTCTTCTCCCCTTTGCTCTTAAACACACTCGATTCAGGTTTTCTGCTCTGTTGTTGCTGAATCCAAAGATTCTCATCAGTCCTTTTTTTAAGACTTTTTATTCATCTCTTCATGAAAATACTTTTTTCCTCTGGCTTCTAGGATGCTGTACTTGCTGGGTTTTCGTGGACCTCTTTAGTTGCTTAATTTCAGTGTCGTGGTCTCTCTTATCTCTTCTTCAGCAGCCTAGAGGAGACACAGGATCTGACCTCATACTACTCCCTGCATGGCCGTAACCATGTTAGTCCAAGCCACCACCAGCTTTCCCCTGGACTGTTATTACAGCAGTTTCCTGACGGTTCTCCCTCCTTCCACTACCTTTTTCCCCCTCTCATCTCTGCCTTGTAAAACAGCCAGTGATACTGTTGAAATAGGTCATAGCTCACATTCTGAATTCATCAGTGGCTTCCCCTCTCACTCAAAGGAAAAGCCAACTTCCTTACACATGACCCATGAGGCCCCACAAGCTCTGAGTCCCCTGCTGTTTCTCAAATACACCAGGCATTCTTCTCCCTCAGAGCCTTCGTATTTGTTGGTCTTTGTATCTAGATCATTCTTCGATTTGGTATTCCCATCGTTCTCTAGCTCCATCGTTCTTTCAGGTTTTGACCCAGATGTCACCTTTCAATATGGTTTTCTTTGGTCCTTTCTAAAAATTTTCCCTCTCTCACATTTTCTAACTCCTCTCTTGCTTTTTAGTACTTTAGTACTTTTCCTTAGTACATATCACCATCTAACATACTATATATTTGATTTAATTTGTCTTGTTCATTGTCATTTTCCCTTAATAAGAATGTAAGCTCAGTGAGGGCCAGTTTTTTTTTATTTTGTTCACTGGTTTATCCCCAGGGCATAGAATGGAAACTGGCACGTAGTAGGTCCTCAACATACAGTTGTTGAATCAATGTATTTAGTGCCTAATATTTAGCAGTCTGTGTAAACAACTGACAACAAAACCCAAAGACTGCGTAGAAACAGGAGAGTCAGTTAGAAAAACAAAATACAGTTGCTACATGCTAGTAATATTTTGTTTTGTGTTTTTATCTGAGCACTAGGTACATTTTATCTGAGCACTAGGTACATAGAAAATCTGGAAGCTCTGTATACAGTTGAGATTTCTTGCTTTCTGTTTGTGGTATTTCCATAAGAAATGAACACATTTAATTCTGACACAATATGCAAATGTAACTGCTACAAGTGATTATATTGGGTTAAGATTATCATGAGGGAATGCTGTGTGCTTGTTTTTTTTTTCCGCTTTCTTGACCCCAGACAGGGCAAAAACAGGCACATGGTGTAGGCATATTGTAGCAGATTGGAGAAAGCTGCACATAAAAAGGAAATTTTTTGTACCAAACAAGTTTCATGGTTTTGAAATCAGCAAGAAGGGGGCATGCTTTGAGATGTAGTTAGTGTGATGGAGTAAATGAGTAATTAACCAAAGCACAAAACTTTGGGAGTAATTCTGAGTACCAAAGCATAGAAATAGTAAAAGTGGCTAGAAATGAAAAAAAAAAAAGACAATGAAAAAAATGAAATGAAAAAAGATGACAAGTGATAAATGGAGCTATTAATATGCCAGAATATTCTCAATCTATAATTCTTAACCTAGGTTTTGAGAAAGAGGTAGGTACCTGAGCTACGTGAAACCACAAAGTATAACTAGATAAAGAAGATGTGGTACACACACACACACACACACACACACACGAATTTTACTCAGCCATCAAAAATGAAATCTGGCCATTTGCAACGATGTGGATGGAACTAGAGGGTATTAGGCTAAGTGGGATAAGTCAGAGAAGGACAATTATCATATGATTTCACTGACATGTGGAAATTAAGAAAAAAACAGAGTATCATAGGGAAAAGAAGGGAAAAATGAAACAAGACAAAACCAGAGAGGGAGACAAACCATAAGAGACTCTTAATCATAGGAAACAAACTGAGAATTGCTGGAGGGGAGGAAGGTGCGGAGATAGGGTCACTGGGTGATACCCATTAAGGAGGGCACATGATATAATGAGCAATGGGTGTTACATAAGACTGATGAATCACTGACCTCTACTTCTGAAACCAATAATACAGTCTATGTTAATTGATGAATTTAAATTTAAAAAACAAATGAAAAAAATTAAAAAAAATAAAAAAGGGAGAAATTCTTTACAAAAAGCTGGATCTTTATTCAGGTACTTCTGAGTCCTTAATTATTAAAACTTTCCTAAAACAGAGTCACAGGACTAGATATCTACATACACGAACCCCATGAATAAATTTTTAAAAATTAAAAAAAAAAAAAAAGAAACCACAAAGTAATCATAGCAGACATTCTTGCTGTTTTCCATTGTTTAATTGGTGGTGAGAAAATAATACCATTAAGATAAATATATATGTATGTATGTGTGTGTGTGTGTGTGTGTGTGTGTGTGTGTGTGTAAAAAGGTGAATGTGTGTATTATGTGGTAGAAGAGAAATTTTTATACTGTTTAAACCTGTAAGGGCAGACATCAAAGAAATTTTGAGTTTGAGATGAATATGCCTCACGATCCCATGGATAGATACTCTCTTCCTGGGGCCTCCTTGAGAACCACTGCTAAGTTGTGTTTTGTTTTCCCAAAGGCTTTTCTAATGAAGAAAGAAAAGCAAACCTTTAAGTATGGATTAGTGACAGGGTTTATCAGAACCCTATATTGTATCCATTTATCTTTGTTCATTAACACACTTATTGATTTATCCCAGAAAGTAGTAGTTAATTCATTGCACTATTATTTCATAAAAACTATGTGTTTTTTAGAAAATGATTTTTAATATGAAACTGCTTTCAGTTTCTCTCTCGGTTATCCACAGCTGAAGGGAGTGGTGGGCATTCACACTACATTCCAAAACACTGTATTTTTC